CCTGGGAGAGGAGGGAGACCAGGGATGCTTCAGTTCTGTGGCCTGGGAGAGAAGGGGAGAGACCAGGAACACTTCAGTTCTGTGGCCTGTGAGAGGGGAGAGACCAGGGATGCTTCAGTTCTGTGGCCTGGGAGAGGAGGGGAGAGACCAGGGATGCTTCAGTTCTGTGGCCTGGGAGCGGAGGGGAGAGACCGAGAGGAAAATGATCTGTAAATTACAGAGAAATCCTTTGGCAGAAACATGGCTGAAAACCAAGTCATTTTGTGTTCTTAGCATAGCACGAGAGAGAGAAACCATGCCAAGTTGCAGGTCTCCCCCTCCCAAGCCACCCCAGGTCTAATCATATTGTCTAGAGAGGTTTTTCAGTGGGGAAAAATTGCTAGTATCTCTTTCAGAATAATGCATGCCGCCTGTCAGTGCAGGGACACTGGCGGCGCTGTAAAGAGCCCTTGATGGGGAAAAGGAGCCCACCCCATCCCAGCAGTCGCCATCTTCCTGCCCCATCTGCAGTGACTGATAAGGACACACTTGGCTTCAGACTCATCCTGCGGCACTCAAGTACACTAACTGCCCATCAGGACACTTGCAGAGAGGGGCCAGCGTGTGGTTATTTGATGTCGCTCAGTCCCTCCCGCCCTTACCGCCCCTCGCTGCCATCCTGAAGGCTTGTTTTCTAGGGAGCAGCTCCTGTTGGCAGGGAGCAGGGGTGCCTGTGGCACTAGAGAACCTCAGAGGCACCCCTGCCTGATTACACCCGACGACGCTCATCACAGCTGACTGACTCGGGCTCCTCCCTGTGTCACTGTGGCCCCAGAGGAGAGTGTTCTGGGCCCCGCAGCAATCATCTGTGCTCACCATTCCCTTGTTTGTTCTAATCAGAAGCAGAGGAGCCAGGTCCCTTTTGACGGGAGCCTAGAGAGCTCTCGATTTAACCCCCCCCCCCCATCTCCTTCCTCACTTTACATCTTCCATGAAGGGAAGAAAGACCTGAATTTAATTTGCAATCAGTGGAAAGCTTGCGGATTCTTGGTATGAGTCTCCTAATTCCCCCCTAACTTGTTTTTACAGGTGATGGATGTGAAGAAAAGAAACCCCAAAGCTATAAACAAGCTGATTGGGTTGGTCCGGAAAGCAAGCCTCAGCCGAGCAGACCCGACTCTGATAAAGGAAATACTGGAGAAGAAGCTGTCATTGTGATGTGTGGTGAGGTCCTTCTACCTGAGGGAGGACAGTGTGGCCCTGAGAACAGGAGCCGTGAACGCTGCTGTTTGTGTGGGTACAATTTGTGTCTCTCAGTCCCGGGCCAAGCTACCCCTCTTGGGAGGTAACATTTCACACGTGTCCTCTGGGACCCTATGGCCTGGGAAGCAGCTGGAGGTCTGCTCGCTGTCTGGAAACGGTTCTGCGATGATGCCAGCCGTGGTTAAAGTAATAGCATGTTCTACTGTGAAGGAATTCTAAACAGAATAAAGCGCATGTCTCAACTGCAGATGCCGGTGAATGCTTCCTAGGAGCCAGGTACTGAAGGCCGACAGACTGGGGTGGCAGTATGGATGTAGTATGTTATGGATACAGTATATTAAGACCTGCACGTGAGCTTATTTAGAAGAAAACAACCAACCCAACTCATGTCTCACAAACACACTGTTCGGGCAAGGGTGGGAAGGAAGGTGTAGGTTCGCGTCATTTGCTGAGTGAGGGCAGGCTCTGCTGTGTGCTCAGCTCCCGGTGAATAAAGTGACACAGACCTTCTCAGATAAATTTAATGAATAAAATAGATACTAAAATAGCACATAAAAATTAACGTCCACTTCAGAGATTTACACCCTTCCCCAACACAATGCTTTAGGCCAAAAAAAGATCAAAAGAGAAGATCTGAAACATTGACTTGTTTTACCTGGAAATAATAAGATTATAAACTAATAAATCAGAATGTTGACCTTTAACTGTCTTGAAGTACAGCCGATGATGATGAGGAAAGCCATTGCCTCCACCCCCATACCTGTGATGGTAGCCATTCCTCTCCAGAGTCCTGGGCACCCCCTTGTTTCTTACGTGCCTGCTACCTCAGAGACACCACACTCCTTCTAATGATTAGTTTTCCAAATGTGTTTTGGAAATATTTGTCAAACTGTCAGTGAAGGGGGTGGGGGAAACCTTGGAGGCCCTCATCTTAGACCAGATTCCCCAGCTTGGTAAGATCATTGCTGGGGCCATCTTTCCAGGGCAGCTGAGGGACAGGGGAGAGTAGACAACCCACTTCCATCACCAGACATGGCTCCTTGCCCAGCCAAAAGCTGAGACAGAGGGGACACCAATGCTGTGGTTTATTTCCGACAAGCAGGAGGAGATGCCCTGTAGAGCGTTACCTCACCCAGGGAGCCACGGGCCCACACTGTGTTCCCTGATGAAGACTGGCTGTTGAGAGCGTTCTGCTAACCTCCCACAAGACAGAGAGAAAGGGGACACCGGTGGCTCTGCAAGCCTGAGCGCCAGTGGCCAGAGGGCTCAGCTTCACCTTCCACAGAGAACAGTAAGGTTCGCTTTTACACACTCCATTCTTACCAAAAGGTCTGGCTTGGTCATCAAGCTTCTCAGAAAGCACTGACAAGCTGAAGTCCTGGCCTCACCTTGGTGGGTGGTGCAGCTGGGTAAGAGTCGTTTCCAGAACCGATTTTGTCAACTGAGAAGAGCATATGGAGTGAGCATTCCCAGAGGTGATGCCATCACAGTGTCTTTCTGAGGCTCTTCCCATCCAGTTCTGACTCCTTCTGAGGCTCCTCCCATCCAGCTCTGACACAACCACCTTGTCCCCTTGTTGTCTTGAAACCCTAAACCAGGCGGCTAGAGGTCCTACATAGCACAGCTTCCAGGGAAAAGCCAAGGCCAGCTCTGACACATCTGAAAGATGTGTTTATAGAACCCCTTAAACCCCAGGAAGTGTGGCCTGCTGGTGCACAGGCCTCCGTGAAAGGACTTCCCATTCTTGCACAAGCATGGATGTGGTCTGGTTCTGTTTGTACCAGTTAGGGGAACTCTTACTAAAATGTATGAGTTGGCACCAGAGCTGAGGCTTCTGCCGTCTGTCAGTGGAACCCACACACCTGTAGCTGGATGTGTGACTCAGAAGCCATCCCGAGTAGGGAAAGTGCTGGAAACTGGTGATTTCCCCGCCCCACCCCACCCAGCCACCTCTGCCTGCTCAGGCCCAATCCATGCACCTGCCAGGTCGTGGCTTATCGATGGTCCTCATGGGAAGCTAACACAGGGAATATCAGTTCATCTAACCCAAGGAACAAGTGACCAGGCAGCTTTCTCCCTCCCTTTGTAGGAGGGGCTGCTCACTACCTCAACTTTCAGTTCTGGGTCTTCTCTGTCAAACGCCAGCCTTTCACACTTGCCAGGTCCACGCACGAGGGGAACTTCTGTTCACTCCTCTCAGGGCACAGATAGAAAACCTACCAGTATTCAGCCGAGGTCAGTACCATCCCTGCCCCCCTAACATAATTATTGGTAATCGGGAAATAGCCGTGAAAGGTTTGAGAATCTTCAAGTGGGTCATCTCAGTATTGTAGCCTATGGCATGGCTCACAGTTTATATTGTGTCTTTCAATTAGATTGAATTTAGCTGTTCTCATTTCAAGGACTCCAAAGACTAATGAGGGAAAACAGTCCATCTAGAAGGCCATGTAATTAGCCCACTGCCAGAAGCAGTGTGGATGCGGCCACTGGGCTGCTTTGGCAGCTTCTAGACAGATACACCTGGGGACTGCTTCTCCACGACCCATGGGTGGGCAAGTAAAAGGCAATGCATGAAGTCCGCTTCCATGGGCTCCCAGGTCAGGGCTGAGCAGAGTCTTTTAAGATCATCAGCACCCGACCCCGTGTCCAGTGTCTGCAGGGACGGGAGAGGCCTGGCTGTCAGTGCTCCTTCTGTAGACTTGTCCAGGACATTTCACTTGACATACTGAGGTCAGGCTTGTGCAGCCTCAGCTCAGTGACTAGATAACCTGGCCTGAGCACTTCCGTCGCCTGCCTTTTCAGGTTCTGAGGTGACACAGCCCATCTCAGCTCCCTGAAAGAACCCGGAAGGAACACAGGGACAAAATCCTGTGGTCAGGGTTGTGTGGGCAGCAGGGACCTGGGTGAACTCACACCTTCAAAGACAAGAACACAGCTTGCTGTGCCCAGTTCTAGCTAAAACCAGCTACATCAGCAGGCGGGCTCTGGGACAAGGAACCACAGATACCGACCCACCCAGCCTCCCTCTCCCTCTCCCTCTCCTGTGGTCCCGTTCCCCTAAAGAGCTCCACAGAAAATCTCTTCCTAAAGCCCTGTTTATCCAGTTAACAAGCCGCCAAGATAATCTGCCCTCCAAAACAAGTAATGAGTTAATAATGCCTGGATGTAAAGGGGATTTGCTGAGGCAAAATTATCCCAGAAGCCATTCTGAGTCATCCAAGAGCTTTTTGTGAAGCATTAGGTTTATGATGGTCATTCCAAAAGAAGATAAAGTCTAACTCCATTCTCTATAAATGTCTCCTTCCTTGATGGACTTAAGGGTGGAGCACACACTCTTGACAAGTTGTTCTAAGCTGGTATGTGATGGGCAGAGGACGTGGAAAGGGCTAAGATATCCCCCAAATGGTCTAAAGCTGCTGTGGCCTCAGCTGCCAGGGGAACCGCTGCCTCGGGAAAGCTAAGGGCGGAAGTGACTCGAGGTGTGCAGCGAACTGTACCGTCCCGGCCAGTGACTTGAAGTGGCATGTGCATGAGCAGCTGCCCTGCCAGGAAGCACGTCATGAAGATGGCAAGCCCGACAGCCGTCTCGGCAAACCCCCGGCTGCTCATCAGCAACCGAACCAGGCTGCCCTCCAGTGAGAACTGGAACACAGGCATGTTTAATATCATGCCTGTGACATGCTCCACCATGCTGGCCAGACTTCCCTACTGAGAGTAACCTGGGGTACACCAATCCGGAATGGGTAGCCACATTACAACTTTAGACCTCTAAATGGAGCTGGAAGCAAGCTCACGTGATTACTGCAGGGATGCAAACGACTGGCTGCCCCGACTAGACCAACCCCAGACATTCACAGATCCAGTTTCTAGCTTTGATTCACATGACGACACCCCACCTCAAGATGTCTTAGTGGGCTGAAAACCAACAACTACATCTAACCTAAATACAAGCCACTTGGTGAGGACCTGCTCCTGAGGACTGCAGAGCACTGAATGGAGACCATGTCACACAACAGATATCACTCCACTCTCGGGTGGGGTGGGGGCGGGGTGTCACCCTACTTTCCCCAACCACGTTAAACCAAATGGGGGCCATCTTCCAGTGGCTGCATCAGAGAAAGGAGGGGTTTGATGATCAAACCACCTTTAATTAGTTCTTCTTGCAACTGCACTCCAGAGCTGGGAGACTGGAATTCTACACTGGATTTTCTTTGTTCAGATTTTTTAAAAAATCAATTTTAACTATCCCGGTGTGCTCATGTATTTTGAACCATAAAATTCACTCAGTCTAGACCTTAAATCAGACCTTGAATTATGGACCCAGGTTAATGTTGTGATGTTCCAGGAACCCTCTTCCCCCTGTCCCTGCTGAGGTCCATCGGGCTAGACACAGCGACGCCAGTCCAGGGTCTGTGCCAAACAGTGGTGTCTACTGCTGCTCCTCAGGCATGGCAGCTGATGACGCCTGTCACAGGGAGAGGACACAGTCCCTGGACCATATTTTAGACATGTCAGATATCTTTCAAATTTCTCTCCCAAAATGTATTACCAGAGAGGGGAGGGGGATGGTCAACCTGTGAACTTTGGGACTAAGATAACCTACCTCGCGACTCTTCCTTCCCCACAAAGAGCTCCTGTCGTCACCTGTCTGCCCAGAGCAGTGTTCACTCTTCCAAATCATCGGGACTTGCTCTGTCTGTAGCTCAGATTTGCTCTGGGCAAGTCCACACCATTCCTGACTACTTAGCTCAACTGCACGGGCCTTGAGGTGCTCGATGCTCTATTCCCAGATCAGTTTTCTGACTTCTGTTTTGTAAAACTCTGAGCACAGCCCTCTTAGGGAAGTCTGGAAGCATTCAGAGAAGAGCCAAGTGAGTTTGCTATCAACATCCCACCCCAGGGAACCTGATTTCCAGACCCTTCCCCCTTAACCTAAGTCTACATCAGTACCTTGGGGTGGGGTGGGGGAGAACAACACACAGTCACTCTTGCCCAACAAGCACCTTCCACGAAGGGGACTCTGGGGTGTATAATAAATTAATAAATATGTAGAAAAGGTAGAGAGTATAGCCAAGTAGCAGCATGCTTGCTTAGCATATTTTTTTTAAAGGAAGAAGAAAAAAGAAATAAGGACTTGAGAAGAACCAATACCGATAATGATGGGCATAAAACCACAAAGCTAAAGAACTCCATTTGCAGATACGGCTTCAGCATTCAGTGACATGGCAAACACAGATAACCAGACAAAGTGGGGTTGAAGGAGTAACAATTCCTCTAGTTGTTCCTCTCTGAAGCCACTCTCCTTCTCAATGGAGACTTGTGGGCACTCATCAGGAAGGCAAGAGCAGGCCAATTTACTGTGCTTTCCATGTGCTGGCTGCTGCACCATGGCTAGGCAAACTGCTTTTCAGGACAAATGTAAAGTCAGCAATGTTCCATGAACAGGTATCAAGGATCCTTGTTTAGCCTATGATACACTGCTAGGCTGGCTCCTAAAGCTCACCGAGCCCTGGCCAGATCTCCAGGGCATTTGTCTCATGGCCTGGCTCTCCAGCTTCCTCAAAGCAAAGCTGCTTCAAGACCCCACAAAGACCCCTCAGCTCTCCAATGCCCTCCGGTACCAGGACCTGAATGACATACTAGCGTTCCTGAGGTACAACTAATGGAACTGGTGCCACCCTTGGGGCTCAGCAGAGATGCCCACAAAGAACAGAGCTGGGCCTAGCATCCTTCCATTGGGGACCCTCCACCTTCTCACTTCAGAGCTGGATCTGAACATAAGGGGACTTTAATAATTATCATAAATACCAGTTGTTTGTGGTCTTGTTTTTTCTGGGTTCTTCCCTGTCTTTGTATGGCTGTGGCTGAAGTATGGCCATGCTGCTGGGAGCAGGCTGGCAAGTAGCCAACGCCACCAGTACATCCCCACTGGCGTATCCTCCACAACTGGATACTAGACATACGCCACGGCCATGAAGAGGGAGTCACCAGTAGGCACCTAGCTTTACAAGCTCCCTGGGACCCGTATGCATTTCCATCCCAGCCGCCAACAGGAGCTGCACAGTGCTCACTTCTCTACAAAGTGCAACCTATTAGCAGAAGAGAATAACAACCAGTGTTTTCACAAGTTGCGTCAGCATAATTTTATCTTTTGTACCCATTCCAAACTCTGCCCACTCCCACAAAAAACATCCTCTATGGCTTCACAAGTTAACATTTCTTTTCATAAAACACCTAAACAATAAGGGTTGGGGTTTTTTTTGCATAAATATACGATACCACACTTTGTTCATCTGATCAAATGCCTAAGATCCAAAGTGTGCATAGGTTTGCTTCACTTTGTGCAAATCTTCCTAAATTAAGGCAGTCTTGGGTTTGGGTTGTGCCCCAGTGACTAGAGCAAGCTTTCAAGCAGCAGCAGGAAAAAACTCCCCACATTCCAAATTCTTTCCGTGTGAATTTTCGGGCAGGCAGCCGGGGCTGGGGAATTCTCCCACAACATAAGGCAATGCGTGTGGAGAGATTGCAAGTCCTAGAAGTAAATTCATAGCGGCAGATGATGTGTACCTGTGTGGCAGGCGGAGCTCCACATTGTTCTTGCAGTTTACAGAGGGTAGAGGGTAACAGGCATGTGCAGGCAGCTGTGGAGGAACTTCCCTGAGGCTGCTGACTAGCTGACACCCACCCATGGGTGTGCAGAGGTCACAGAACCTCAGTGTGTGCTCGGAGCTGTCTGAACTACAAGCTGAATGATCCACTCCAAGGGATGGAAGAGCAACTACGGATCATGTGAAGAGGAAACACTGGGCAGAAAGACCCGCCAAGAGGACCACCAGCCCAGAGACTTACATTCTGTATAATAAGGGGAGACCCGGCTGGAGAGAGGAGATGCACACAAAAACCCTCTCTACAAATCAAGTATTGTCAGGAAGTATCCAAGTAGACAGTTTTTGATAAGCAGCTTTGCATTTAACATTCAGTCAAGACACTATAACCTTATAAAACCGAATCTCTATTAAAATAGTAGTATAAAAAGCTAACAGCAGGAGTCCTCGAAGTCCCCCAGGATCTTGTAACACAGAATTGAGTGTTCTTGAGCCAAGGCTGCCAGCTCCTTCAGGAACTCTGGGAAGAGAGCGGCAGCCAGCATGGTGTTCTTCACTGGCAGAGGCAGGTTTGGGGGTGCCCCAGGCACCTTGGCTCTGTGGCCCAGGAAGGGCTGAAGCACTCGTGGAGGGCTATCCACAAGGGTCTTGTCACCTTCTGTCCTGGAGACCTCTTGAATGGGATCTGAAAGCAGAAAAACGGTAGTCCTGGAACTCTTAAGTACAAGTGTGGGGGAGAGGGGCAAGCGCTTTAGCGGAGGGAATAGTCCTGGGTGCGGTTCCTCAGCTGACCAGATCCTGAAGACAGCCCTCAAGTGCTCCATGACCAGCTTGTCCTGCAGATAACAGCTAGCACTCAGCTTCTAACACAGGACTGTTCGCCTAAAATTCTACACAGGGAACCTCGTGCATAGCTGTGGCAAGACTACAGGTTTGACAAACTCCCAGCCAGACACTGTGCTGGCACCCTGAAGTCCTGGCTATTTGTGAGGCCAAAGAAGAAGGACCATACGATCAGCATGGGCAACAAAGCAAAACCCTGATTGGATGGATGGATGGATGGATGGATGGATGGATGGATGGATGGATGGATGGATGGATGGATGGACTAGATAGATAGATAGATAG